CCTCTATGTGACATTGCTTATGCTGCCATTTTTGATTGCTCAGTGGTAGTGACTTCTTACTGTAGTATATTAGGAGTTGCCTCTCTGAGAGTTTTTTTTAAAGCACAGCCTAACTTGCACCTCTCCAAATGAATAATAGTGATGCCTTTTAAAGTATGTCAGGCTTTGCCTTTCGGTGTGGGGATTGTCAGTGCAGACTTGCTGTCTGAGGTGACGCAATATTTAAAGTGGCTCATTCCATATTTCTCAGTATTTGCTCCTCTGTTTGGACTTTTATCACCTCACACTTCTCATAATGTCCTGTTGATTTGCCATGACTTTCACTGATCAATTTTAGATCTTAGGTCAATGAAACATTTGAATCCCATTCTGATTTTCATGACGCAAAAAAAATGTTGTGTAAACCTAATGTTATAATAGTTTAAACTATTTATCCGGTAATTATGTCACTGTGGCATGCAGGCAGGTGGAGGAAATGCTGACAGTCATGAGTGCACACGTGAATCACAGTACCATTGTCATTTAGTTCTGCAAGAGCACCATGAAGCAGCCCCTCCACCCCCATTTTACAGATAAACTGAAGCTCAGAGAGATGAACTTGCCTCCAGCTCCATGGCTAGTTACTAAAACGATTTGGAGTTTGACTCCAAAACTCACTATAAGTGTCTATCAGTTGTTTTTAACTTTTTAATTGGAGCCTAAGACACATGTGGAAAAGAGCAAATCATAATAAGTGTAGAACTCAGCGAATTATCAAAATGAAATATCCATTAATTACTCAGTTAAACAGACAAGGATGTTAGCACCGCAGAGGCCCTTATGTTCCCTCCCAGTTAGTCCCCTCCTGCTGTTCCTCCCAAGGTAGCCACTGTCATGACTTTTTTTTTTTTTTTTAAGATTTTTTATTTATTTTTTGACAGAGAGAGGCACAACGAGAGAGGGAACACAGGCAGGGGGAGCGGGAGAGGGAGAAGCAGGCTTCCCGCCGAGCAGGGAGCAGCCTGATGCAGGGCTCGATCCAGGACCCTGGGAACATGACCTGAGCCGCAGGCAGACGCTTAATGACTGAGCCACCCAGGCACCCCTCACTGTCATGACTTCTGACACGTAGATTCGTGTTGCTTCAGTGCTAACAGGTTTTGAACAGAATTTGATATGACTCTTGATTGTCTGTCCTTTTATACTTTCTGTTACCACATCTGGAAATTCAGTGCTAGTTTTTATTTCTTTCTGTACAGAAAAAAAAAGTATAAATTTCACACCTTATAAAAATTTTATTAACTTAATGCTTTGTGCTAAATACTTCTCCTTTTGTGGTTAATAATTACAGTTCTTGGCTTGTTAGTCAAAGCCACTGTGAAGAACTCTTCAAAACCAGTGACCTCTGTAGATCGTCACACGAGAGTAAAAGCATTAAGACTGAGTCCTACCTAAGGGCTTTTAGTCCTACCTACGTCCTACCTAAAAGGCTTTATTTACCTGAGGGCATTACCTGTAAATGCTATGTGCTGATACTTTTAAAATACTGTAGTAGGGGGGCGCCTGGGTGGCTCAGTCGTTGAGCGTCTGCCTTCGGCTCGGGTCATGATCCCAGGGTCCTGGGATCGAGCCCCGCATCGGGCTCCCTGCTCAGCGGGAAGCCTGCTTCTCCCTCTCCCACTCCCCCTGCTTGTGTTCCCTCTCTGTCTCTCTATCAAATAAATAAATAAAAAATCTTTAAAAACATAAAATAAAATAAAATATTGTAGTAGGATCATTGTCAGTACTGTTTCCTTTAGCCAGTGGTTTTGAAAGCAGTATGTTGTTTAAATACATGTAGGTCAAATAATTGCAGTATTTTGGGAAAGGTATTCTAGGAATTGTCCTCTGATATGTAGCTCATGAGCACAGTGATCAGTTTAGCAGCTATAATAAGTACATTTTCATCTTGCAGGTGCCTTCTGCTTTGTTTCCCCAGGAATACTGACTTACCCCTGAGACTCACACCCAGCTTTGTGACTCCAGGCATTTATGTAACATAGATCCTCTGGAAGAGAGGAAAAATGTTTCCTACTCTATGTATGAAAAAAACAGTCTATTAGTATTTGTACAGATTTCTCTCAAAATATTTTTTTCTAATTATGAAAGCAGAACACATTTGTTACAGAATATCTGAAATGTGCAGAGAAGTGCAGTAATTCCCCCCTCAGTGAGATCTGCTAATGTTTTGTGGTATTTGTCTTTTTACTTCTTACACACGTGGATATTTATAATAAAATTGGAATTATAAAATATATTTAGTTTCACTGCCTGCTTTTTTGTTAATATATTATTTATCTTTGAATACATATAGAGTATTACATACTTCTTAGAAAACATTTGTTGCATAATAACTTCACAATCAAGTACCACACTTAGTTTATTTAACCATTCTTGTGTTTTGAACTAGTTTTTGATTTTTTCCATGTTTATAAAGAATTAGCTGTTGGATAGCAGGTGGTGGGGGAGGGATGAAGATGAGGAGAGGAAAGGAATCCTCTTAACTGGATTGTATTTGTTCAACTGAATTGATCACATACTTAGTGAACCTTTGTGTGTCAGACCCTGTGGTAGGCTCTGAGATGTAGATGTGAATTCTTTCACATTGGAGGTCAGATGCAATGAGTGAGGGCCTGAATTAAGTCATAGTGGAGATGGGGAGACAGAAGACAGAAGGATTTCCAGAGATGTTTAAGTGGGAAAGCTGATTTTTGTAGAGTTGGGGCAATGTGAGTGAGAGGGAGACATTTAAGATTACTCCCACATTTTCCCTTCACATCACTGTGCTAGACAGTGGTATCATTTATTAGTATAGGGACCATACAAAGGCAGAGCAAATTTGCTTAGAGTTTTGTCCTGGGCATAGTGAACTTGAGGTGCCTGTGGGCCCCTCGAGAGCGCAGTGTCTTTTAGGCAGATGGATAGATGAAGCTAAGAAAAGAAATCTGGACTACAGAGATGGGTTCGTGGATCATTGGCACTTAGACTGTGGCATCAGCAGCAGAGCCTGACCTGGTGGAGCTGCCTTGGGAGGACATACAGTTGAGAAGGGGGCCGGGGGTAGAACCCTGGGGAGCATCAGTGGTCAGCGGTGGGAGGGATGCAGAGAAGCATGGGAAAGACAGAGAACCAGAATGGGAAAGAGGGTGGCATCATGGTTGCTGAAAGAAGGAGGAGAACCACAGCCCATGTCTATTGAAATTGGCAATTAGGTCATTGTTGAGAGGAGTTTCAAGGGAATGGTGGGGACAGAGGAGGGAATGACAGGGGAGTAGGGGTGAGGAAGTGGTGTATAGTAGCTAGAGATGGAAGGGCAAGGGTGGTCAGATGTGCTGTGGAAGGAGGGTTTTGTTTTACTAGAGTCTTTTTTTTTTTTTAAGATTTTATTTATTTATTTGAGAGAGAGAGAATGAGAGAGAGCATGAGAGGGAGGAGGAGGGTCAGAGGGAGAAGCAGACTCCCCGCCGAGCAGGAAGCCCGATGCGGGACTCGATCCCGGGACTCCAGGATCATGACCTGAGCCGAAGGCAGTCGCTTAACCGACTGAGCCACCCAGGCGCCCTGTTACTAGAGTCTTGAACAGGTTTATGTGCTGAGGAGAAGGACACAGTTGAAAGAGGTAGAAGTTGCTGAGAAGGGAGGTTGATGATAAAGCAAAGGACCTGAGCAGAGGGATGGGTTTGGAGCTGAGGTGGAGGGATTACACACTTGCATAGGAGGGAGGTACTTGTCCTGAGGAAGCACCCAGTGGGTGGGAGGAATTGCTGGTGTGGCCAGATTGTTGGCAGTAGCTCAGTTTTCTCAAGAAACTGAGAATGAGGCAGGTTGCGTGGGAGGTGGGCTTGAGGCAGTGTCAGGGTTTGCAGTGTCTGGTGAGGGGTAGAGGGGGGAAAGGGGCCAAGGCTCGGAGGACGGGAGCAGCACCCTGGTTAGAGATCCAGGTCTCTAACCATGATCTGTAGAGGTACTGATTAGCATGGTGCTGTGAACCTCAGCAAGGCTCTGGAGCCCAGGTAATGGAGAAGGGACGTTTCTTGACCGTGTACTTCCTCAGGGAAGTCATCCCTGGCGTTCTAAGTTAAATTTATTATAGGTTCTCACACCTCGTTCTTTCCTTCTAGTGCTCCTAGAGTTGTAGTTCTGCCTTTGATTGTTAGCATTGTTATTGTAATCATAAAAGTTTGCTTTCCGCAGCAAGCTAAAAGCTCTGAGGAAAGACACATCTGAATTTGCTTACCATTGTACAGTGTCTACTAGTTACCTAGTAGATGCTCGGTAAATGTTGAATTTAAGAACCAAGCTTTTTAATCCGCCTCAGCGTGCCTGTGGATGTGACTTGCTTTCATTTGAACCATTATTGACTGCCCTGCTTCTTTCCTGAAGGAGGGGAGGTCAGGTGCTGTGGGATAGTGGGTAATAGACCACAGGCCCTGGCGTGAGAATGCGTGGGCTCTTATCCCAGCCCCCCCTCTCACCAGCTGCAGGACCGCAGGCAAGTTCTTACTCTCTCTGCGTCCCAGCATCCTCACCTGCGGAGGGTGGCTAGTGATTGTACCGACCTCCTGGGATTGTTCTGAAGCTTGCCTGAGAAAGAGTTCACATGGGACATAGAAGAATCAGTTTTCACTACTAGTGGTTTGAAAAAACAGTCCTAGGTGGTCTTGATAATCTTTCCTTGAGACTCCTGGCTTTTATGGTAAAGGGTTTGCAGGGCAGGTACCTGTGAGCATCTTCTGTGTGTCTGTTCCTTGTCATTTATTGAGTATTGATCTTTAGAGAAACTGAGAAGAGAAACTCCTGGACCTGAAGGTCTTTCTGGCCCAGTGATGCAGTGGCACCCATAAACACATTACGGGTCCCGAAGGGAGTATCGCTAAGGAACAGTCCTTTCGCTCCTGGTCCTGTCTGTGGGGTGAGGGGTTAGTGAAAGCTGTCTGCGTCACACCTGCCGTGGTAAACTTGCTTCTTTGTCTGTCTCGCAGAGGAGGTGGCCAAGTTGGAGAAGCACTTGATGCTTCTCCGACAGGAGTACGTGAAGCTGCAGAAGACGTTGGCAGAGACAGAGAAGAGATGCACTCTTTTGGCTGCGCAAGCAAAGAAGGAAAGCAGCGACGAGTCCTTCATCAGCCGCCTGCTGACGATCGTGGCTGACCTCTATGAGCAGGAGCAGTATAGGTGAGCCCGTGGACTCAGGATGCTTTTTTCTTTTCTTTTTTTTTTAAAGATTTAATTTATTTATTTGAGAGAGAAAATAAGAGACAGCACATGAGAGGGGGGAGGGTCAGAGGGAGAAGCAGACTCCCCGCCGAGCAGGGAGCCCGATGGGGGACTCGATCCTGTGACTCCAGGATCATGACCTGAGCCGAAGGCAGACGCTTAACCACTGAGCCACCCAGGCGCCCCACAGGATGCTTTTGGTGGATTCCCAGGCCACACTGTACCTTCTCCTCTCTCACTGACTTTCTCCCAAGTTCTTTTCCTCTCTAACCAGGATACTAGCAAACCTTTAGTCCCTGGAATGTAGTAAGCTCTTTGGGGCAAAATTTTGTTTCTTTTATTTCCTGCTTATTTTTGGCACAGAATGTGGGAGTCATGGTGATAGCATTGATGAGGTGGACAGGAATTAGCTTACATGTCTGGGGATTCAGAGGCAAAGGTCCCTTTCTCATGGGATAATCAAAGAAGGAGTCTTGCTGGGGCGCCTGGGTGGCTCAGTCGTTAAGCGTCTGCCTTCGGCTCAGGTCATGATCCCGGGGTCCTGGGATCGAGCCCCACATCGGGCTCCTTGCTCAGCGGGAAGCCTGCTTCTCCCTCTCCGGCTCCCCCTGCTTGTGTTCCTGCTCTCGCTCTCTCTCTGTCAAATAAATAAATAAAATCTTAAAAAAAAAAGGAGTCTTGGAATGAGTGCGCAGGCTAGCATGATGACTGAAGAGGGAATCTGGAGCCACACAGCCTGTGTTAGAAGCTCAGCAGGCACTTACTGGCTGTGCGACCTGAAGTTGTAGGACATGCATGGGGATCCTGCTGCTGCTTACTGTTGTGTTGTTGTGAGGATTAAATAAGTACGTGTTTTAAGCACTTAGATCAGTGTCTGGCACATAGTAGCTGTTGTTGTTAAGTGAGTTTTGAGATAAATGTTAGAGGCTGAACAGGATTCAGTAGATAAAGACAGCGATGTTACTAGTAGGGTAGTGGGGGAGGCTGAGAATAGGCTGAAATGCAGCAACATGCAGAGGATTCAGAGGATAGGAGGGACCGTCTTGGGGGTACATGTCCATGTAGGGGGCACTGGAAGAGGTGGGAAAGGTAGGGTGGTTTGAATTGGGAGGCCAAGTTGGGAAATTTGGACTTGATCCTCTAGGCAGTGTGGGATAGTGTTTTGCGCTGTTGGACAATAATGTTATTGTCAAAGTGGTGTTTCAGGAAGACGAACCTGGTAACATCGTGTAGGTAGCACTGTGCAGAGAAGAGAGCAGGGGAGCGGCTGAGATGTTGTGTGTAGTCCAGACCAGAGATGAAGAAGGGCTGAATCGGGATGGTGGCAGTGGGTATGGAAAAGAGACATGGGCGTGAACGTGCATACAAGGGAGAGTTCGGCTACTGAGGAGATGGACGATCAGGCTAGCTAAGACTAAGTAAAATTACAAAATAAATTATGACATCTAAAATAGATCAAAATCCAGGGGCGCCTGGGTGGCTCAGTCAGTGAAGCATCTGCCTTTGGCTCAGATCATGATCCCAGGGTCTTGGGATGGAGTCCCGCATCTGGCTCCCTGCTCAGCGGGGAGTCTGCTTCTCCCTCTGCTCCTACCCGCCTGCCCATGCTGTCTCTCATTTTCTTGCTGGCGTGCACAGTCTCTCTCTCTCATAAATAAATAAAATCTTAAAAAAAATAAAATAGATCAAAATCTAGAACTGCTGTCTTTCAAACTTAATTATTTATAAAAGAAAGAAAAATTTAATACCCAAAACATAGGAAATATATACTCTGAGTAAGGGACAGCCTTTTAAATTGAACAGATGTAGCTACTTGTAAAATATAGTTCGTTGTCTCTTTTCTATCCCTCTTTTCTTCCATGGACAAGTGAAAACTGTTTACCCTGGTGTGGGGAAAGCCTGACCTATTTCTTTCGTGGGCTCATTTCCCCCACTTCAAGGCTCTTCTCCCTTAGAACTCCCATCGTTCACTGTCTCTGTTACTATTCCATCGCGTGCATCCATTATACCTCGACCCCTCTGGGAGGCCGTGGGAATGAGCCGGGTCCCTTCAGTACAGATCCTACGGCTCCAGGGGGCCTCTCCTGAGCTTCTGAAGCCTGCCCTTCACTCCGTGCAGGTTGGAGATCAGATGCGGAATGGGACTTTCAGAGAGGACTTGAGCTTTTGAGAAGTTGGGAAATCAGTTTCTAAAGCAGATGGTCCTTTACCAAAATAAGAAAAAAAAAACCTCACAAAACTTTGTCCCGTAATATGCATTTTTTGAAGAATTTAAATACTGTTTGTTTGTACATCTCAGTAACTGGAGTAATTAAAGAGTAGGAATTAAAAGGTTTTTAAATTGAGAAATGTGGAAGAAATTGGTCCCTTTAATTTTACTTAAGTTCAAGAGAAGGCTTTTGTCCCTTAAGATAGTTAAAAGTGATGGTAATATATCATTCTCCTAGCAATCAAGCTTACAGTTTTTCCTGTTAGTGTTTGAGAAACTGGTAAGAAGCTCTTTATTTATGCTTCCTCTCCAGTAACAGCATCCTAGTATGCATATTTTACAAGGAAATGCTCTTTGACTAGAATGAAAATTTTAAAGATTTTTATTATTTATTTGAGAGAGAGAGAGCACGAGCGGGAGGGGGGGGCAGAGGGAGAGGGAGAAGCAGACTCCCCACTGAGCAGGGAGCCCAACATGGTGCTCCATGGGGCTGGATCCCAGGACCCTGAGATCATGACCTGAGCCAAAGGCAGATGCTTAACTGACTGAGCCACCCAGGTGCCCCTAGAACGAAAATTTAAAAAAATTACTAGTCTCCTGATTGTTTCTGCATAGAGTTCTCAGAAACTTATCCAGTCTTCCACTTTTGAATTGTATTTGTAGAAATTGTTGTTATTAGAAATTATTAATGAAGTCCTTGTCTGTATTTCCCTTTCCCCAGTTTGGCCTGACATTCATGAATATGTAGAAACATTCATTTTTATAATTTGGGGCTAGAAGTCAGTCAATGGCTGGAACAGGAAACAATGAGTCTTCATTTAAGTTATTAGAATTTAATACTTTATACATAAATTTAGAGTTTAAAAATTATTTGTGTTTTATAAACAGCTTCCTGTTTTCACTGAATTTTAGAAATTTTATCAAACGATATGATTTGTTCTATTTTATTTATTTATTTATTTATTTATTTATTTATTTATTTATTTATTCTTAAAGATTTTATTTATTTATTTGACAGAGAGAGACAGCGAGAGCAGGAACACAAGCAGGGGGAGTGGGAGTGGGAGAAGCAGGCTCCCCGCTGAGCAGGGGGCCTGATGCAGGGCTCGATCCCAGGACCCCGGCCTCATGACCTGAGCCGAAGGCAGACGCTTAACGAATGAGCCACCCAGGCGCCCCTGATTTGTTCTATTTTAAATAAAATATTGAATTGTTTCTTTTTACTGATTAATAACGTACTACTGTGTTAACAGTAGTTTGTAATAATTTGAAATACTGAGTATCCTATTGCTCTTCTGATCTAATGTGATTAGTTGCAGCTTGGTCTTCAGTGGAGCTAGAATTGCTGACATACTTACATTCTGGAGGGTGCGTTCGTGGGATAAACTGCGTCTGCGTCAAGCATTATATAGAAACAGTATTCTGCTTGGGTCTCCTTGGGATGCATTAATTCATATCATAGATTTTTTTTTCTTTTTATTGTAGAGACTTTTGTGAATTTAGCTTGTAAAGCTTTTCCAACCTAACACGTTTTGAAGGGCTGTATGAAAATAAAAGAACTTGTAAAAACACAGAATGATGATAATTAATGACTTTGGATTATTGCTGCCAACAAAGCCATATGGTACATGCTTGTGTCAGCCCAGTGGGTCATCTTTAGGTTTTTGTTAAATGCCCAGATGCTTTCCTCCCTCAGCATTTGACATTTGAGAGTCAAACATAAATATTTGGAAAGCTGTTTTCACAATAATGGTTTGTCATAAATATGGAAACATGTTTGAAAAAAAGATTTCTCCTACCCCATTTCTTTATAAATGATCGAGTAAAAAATGTCCAATAATAGGTCTGCATGTTTCTGTCGAGAACAAGAATGTAGATGCTGGTTTCACGTTCTTGACTGCTTGGTCAAAGCCAGTTTGTAGCTTTTCTGCGTCCCCTTGCTTGACTCAGTGCGGTACAGCGTGTGGCTCTGTGGTCCCAGACCCCGAGTCACAGTCTTCACGTTTTCTTTCTCTCCCTGATGATTTGTCTTGATTTATTCTGCATGAAACCTCTTTTACATTTTATGTGAATATTAATCATCCTATTTAACCAGTAGGTTCACCACCTTAAGAATGCCATTAGGGAAGGGGCGCCTGGGTGGCTCAGCCGTTAAGCGTCTGCCTTCGGCGCAGGTCGTGATCCCGGGGTCCTGGGATTGAGCCCCACGCTGGGCTCCCTGCTCCACGGGAAGCCTGTTTCTCCCTCTCCCGCTCCCCCTGCTTGTGTTCCCTCTCTCGCTGTGTCTCTCTCTGTCAAATAAATAAATAAAATCTTTAAATTAAAAAAAAGATAAAATCGGGGTGCCTGGGTGGCTCAGTCGTTGAGCGTCTGCCTTCGGCGCAGGTCGTGATCCCAGGGTCCTGGGATCGAGCCCCGCGTCGGGCTCCCTGCTCAGTGGGAAGCCTGCTTCCCCCTCTCCCACTGCCCCCTGCTTGTGTTCCCTCTCTCGCTGTCTCTCTCTCTCTCTGTCAAATGAATAAATGGAATCTTTAAAAAAAAAAAAAGAATCCCATTAGGGAAAAGCAGAATATCCCATGTGAACCAAAACTCGAAGTTGGAAACACAGATATGTCTAGCAACATGTATTACACACATGGCCCAGGAGAATTCAGTGCTAGCACAGAGAAATAACTCTGCTGTGATATTTTTCTTTTGCAAGTATATGTTGATCAATCAGTACCCATATATTTATCATTTGTGAATCCTAGCTATACCTAATTATGATGACCTTTTTCTTTTTGTATCTGTGGCTATTCTTCTTCACCAGTGATCTGAAGATAAAGGTTGGGGGCAAGCACATCAATGCTCACAAGTTTGTGCTGGCGGCCCGCAGTGACAGCTGGAGTCTGGCTACTTTGTCGTCCACCGAGGAGCTGGACCTATCAGGTGAGCCTCTGACCTGTGGGCACTTAACGACTGCCAGCGTAAGAACTTTTGGCAGGAGGTTATGTGTGAAATATTAGTGGTTTAATGAAAGTAGAAAACTTTTCTTATCAATTGATGGTGACCGTAAACTAGTTAAATAATTAGTGAATAAGTGGGTGGAACACAAACACTTCTGTTTAATACCTGACTAATAAATCATACCTATTTGGATAGCTACGATATTCTTACAATTTATAAAATAGAAATATCTGTCCAGAAACTCTTTCATATAATATTATAAATATGGGAGCACGTGTAGAAAAAAGTTTTTCTTCTACTAGAAAAAGTCTTGGTGTTCAATTGCTTAAAATTTAACCATAGTTGCCAAAGTGCTCTTCCTGGTCTGTAGGAACTTGAACTTAGAAGTAGGAGTTACTCCAGAGAATAGGAGTCGTCTTTCTTTAGCATTAAAGGATGACCCTCAGGCTTCAGAATTTGAGCAGGTGCATTGAGCTGTTTAATGTATGACTTAATTGTTTATGCCACATTATGTTGGATAGAATTTGGGTAAATGTGGTGGTAAGTAGACTTAAAAAAAAATCATTTTCAAAAGTTTACTTCAGAATTGCATCTTCATTTAGTACTTACCTAACTGCTTTTTTAAAAAAGCAAATTTTAAATTTAATTCTTTTATTAATAGTCATGAGAATTATAACACTGTTTTCCATGCGCAGTGCTGGGAAAACTGAGATGATTATAACAAAGTCCTCACCATATAGAAATGGGGTAATAACGGATCATTTCAGGCGAGGGCTATGCATACAGTATTACAATTGCTTTATGTCTGAGGTACAGAAGACCAGCGTGGGCTGTCACTCGAGCGGTGTTGCAAAGGTTAAGTGGGCATTTATCTCAAGGGTTTAGGGGAGCAGATGGCTAATGCTTCTTCACTGTGAGTGAACTCTGTCTCTTTAGGATCGTTTCTAGGGTTGGTTTTCTTTTTTTCTTTTTTTAAGGTTTATTTATTTGAGAGAGAGAGAGAATGAGAGAGAGAGCACATGAGGAGGGGAGGGTCAGAAGGAGAAGCAGACTCCCCGCCAAGCAGGGAGCCCGGTGCGGGACTTGATCCCGGGACTCCAGGATCATGACCTGAGCCGAAGGCAGTCGCTTAACCAACTGAGCCACCCAGGCGCCCGTTTCTAGGGTTTAACTTGTGACCCATAATTCAGAGTTGCAGACACACAAATATCTGAGCATGGATACACGTGTGTATGTGCATCTACGCCTGTGACAACACACCTACTTGGGAAACAGTCTTCACTGCTGTACGACGGAAACCTCTGAGCAGAGCTTTTCTTTGAGGCCGTATATCTTCGACCCCATATATAACAGAACTGTGGATAACTCTTAAAGTCCATTCACAAGAGGCATGATAGGATCTCAATTTAATTACGTGACCAAATAGTTTACAAAGATTAGAAGAGATTATAAGATATAGGAAATATTCTAACAAGAAAAAAGTTCAGAATAAGTTGTCATCTTTGGAGATCTGTTAAAACATTATCAAAAATTGATGATCCCAGTAGTTTGAGGCTCATGAAATTGGTACTCTTGCACATGGCCAGTCATATTACAGATGGTTCTGACAGTTTTAGAAAGCAGACAGCTGGGGCGCCTGGGTGGCTCAGTTGGTTAAGCAACTGCCTTCGGCTCAGGTCATGATCCTGGAGTCCCGGGATCGAGTCCCGCATCGGGCTCCCTGCTCGGCAGGGAGTCTGCTTCTCCCTCTGACCCTCCTCCCTCTCATGCTCTCTGTCTCTCATTCTCTCTGTCTCAAATAATAAAATAAAATAAAATCTTTAAAAAAAAAAAAAAAGCAGACAGCTGAGCTGTACAATAGTCTTCCTTTGAACCTCATCATTTACTTTGTCAGATGGATTCTGCCATAGGTAATTCAGACAGCATGGATATTTATCATAGTTTCGTGTGTAATTGTGAAATATTGAGTGCAATCAAAATGAGTGAGAATGGAGAACAAACAAAATGAGGTAAGAACACAGAGACTTGCATTAAGGTATAAAAAGCCTAATTCAAACATTAAAATTTTGCTTTTACTTTTTTAGTACATCATAACATTTAAGAGCAGCTTTAACTCACTGACTGACCACAAGACTGCATCGCTGTGAATCAGGAGATTAGAAAATGTTTAGTTTAGGGAAGTGTCATGTTTATGCCTTTAAATGTCTTTGGTCTCCTTCCTGTTATAAATACTAAGTATGGTTTGGTCTTGAAAGTTAGCTTTCAAGAGTGATCCACAGCAGAGCAGGCGTTTTGTGGCGTCTGTAGATCAGGCACCTCCTAAGGTAGCTGAGAGTAGAGCCTATGGAGTTGTTACTTTATACAGTTTATGCATGAAATTGTCATGGGGCGAGTTCGTGGAGGTGCCCTGCTCCCTGCTCCACTGTGTGCTTTGTCCAGCAGTCCTGCAGCATTTCCGTGTGTGTGTGTGTGTGTGTGATGCGATACGCAGCTCGGGGTGCCTCCGAAGCCGTGTGTGCGTGTGCGTGTGCGTGTGATGCACTATGCACTAACCCCGCATGGCGGCCAGCAGTTTGAGGGAGATTGGAAATAAGCTCTTGTAAACAAGTGTGTAAGTAGCTCAGAAGTGATGTTTTAAGTGGTTGAACTTTTCCACACTAATAGAGTTGATAAAGGCATTTTATGAATTTATTGGTGTTTTGTTTCTTCAGAATTATTCCATCCACCTCACAGATGGCAGACACTTTTCAAGGCACTAGGGGACATAGCAGTGAATAAAATTAAATTCCTGTTTGCATGGAATTTAATTCTTAGATTGATTTTCTGAGTTCCACGTTTTCTTTTGAAGTTCTTTTGTAACTGGTGTTTCTTAAAACTCAAAATAAGCACAACTTTAATTGTGTTAATCATTGTAAAAATTTTAGCCTGTGTTGGTGAAGCTAGAGAATGCCAAGTATTTAAAACGTGTTTGGATAGATGGCGTCTTTTTAACCCATGCATTGTTCCAGAGAGTACCGTGTGTTGTGTCTGGTCCGATGCACAGATCTAGTTGTGAGAAAGTATCAGACAAACCCAAATTGAGGAACATTCCACAACATAACTGGCCAGTGTCACTCAAGTCTGTTAGGGTCATGGAAGACAGGTAAGAATCTGTTACAGATTGGAGGTCAAGGGGACAATGAAATGCAGTGTGGATTCTGGACCATAAAAAGGACGTTAATGGGAAAATTGGCAAAATTTGCAAAGGTCTGTAATTAGGTAACAGTATTATATCAGTCCTAATTACCTGGTTTTGATTATTGTCCTATGGTTGTGTAAGATGTTAACATAAGGGGAAGATGGGTAAGGGGTATCTGGGAACTCTAGAACTTTTCTGTAGTCTGAAATTATTTCAGAACACAAAGATGAAAGATACAAATTTGCTTATTTCTTTATTATTTGAACTATAAAGATATGTTTGTTAAGATACCGAGTGATCAGCTGGGAAGAGAAAGAATATGACTACTAGCCCAACGCAGTATCTCCAGACCTGTAGGAGAGCTTCTTTGTGAAATCAAACTGTTTGCTTCAGGCAGAAGGACTTGTTATCTCCTCTCGGAGCCCTGGAGCAGGAGTGGCTCGCCCTCTGAGAGGTTCCCCGCATTAGAGCGGGTGGTTTGAAGATAAGAGTTTCTTGTGTGCTTTCTCCAGCAGAGGTCTCATGCTTCCCTGGCATAACTGTGTGTGGTGGTGAGTCTTTCGGCTCTCCTGAAATGTGTCCTGGGTCCTGTCAAGCCCCCCCAAAGCCCGGAGAGCTTCCTCCTCCCTCCTGTTGAGTCTGGTTGAAGCGCCCCTTGGAGGCCGCCCTGTGCCTGGAGCACGCAGAGGGTTCCAGGCTCTGGTGGAGGAGCGCACTGCCCGGTCGTCCGCGTGGGGTTTTGTTAAGAGAAACACAGCAGTACTTGACAGCTGTTGGATATCATGTGAACTGCTAGCTCTGGGTGGTTCCGTTTCAGTGTTAGATCATGCTGTGTTCCTCTGGAGGATATCCATGGTAGTTTTAAAGTATGTCCATCAATTATTGGATACTCTTCCCTTCCAAGGTGGGGCCCTAATTCCCCGTCCCTCAGTATAGGCTGACTGAGCTCTGTGTGACAGGTGGTGGTAGAAGTGACAGGGGGGCACCTGGGTGGCTCAGTTGGCGAAGTGTCTGCCTTCCGCTCAGGTCATGATCCCGGGGTCCTGAGATCGAGTCCCACATCGGGGTCCCTGCTCAGCGGGGAGCCTGCTTCTCCCTCTGCCTGCCGCTCCCCCTGTTTGTGTGCGTGCATGTTTGCGCTCTCTCTGACAAATAAATAAATAAAATCTTTAAAAAAAAAAAAAGTGACAGCAGGTTCCTCCAGAGACAGGTTTGTGGACGCATCGTGACTTCCTCCTTGGTTTCTCTTTGGGAGCAGCTAGCTACCATGTCCTGAGGACATCACACAGCCTTATGGGCTCCTGCTGATGGCTCAGACCCCTTGCCAGAGATTCTCTGGGAGCCTTAGGAAATCTGTTTTATCTGTGGTGATATCCCTTACTCAATCCTGGTGTTGCTCTTGTTTTTTCCTAATTATTGGCTATGTTAACTTTGTGTTTTTGTTTAAAGTAGTCTTTTAATACTAGTCATAACAGCAGGTTTAGTGTAGTCATGACTGTTCGGTGGTCGAGCCCTACATGCTCCACCTGTATACACTGACTTGTCTTCAGAATGGCATTTTGAGGGGAGTACCATTGTTGGCTCCCATTTCATAATGAGGAAACTGTGAGGCACAGTCCAATTGAAGAACTCACCCTGTCACACGGTAGGAAGTATGCGAGCCGGGATTTGAACCCAGCCCGTTTGGCTGCAGAATCCATACCATTAACCATAGTGTTGTGTGGCCTTTCACTTTTGGTTTCTTTCGTTTCTAACTTCATTGAGATGCAAAGGAAGTGAAGTAAATTGCCCATATTCAACGTGT